TGAGAAAAAATCCCACTTTGAATCTGTTCCACAAAGCAGCAACTCTTGGCTGTCCGAGTGGAATTTACCTTTTACTGATGGATTACAAAGGGAATGTGGATGATTCACATTTGTGTACATAGCATGGCTGGTCCAGGTTGTAAAGGTCAAAGGTGATGGAACGAACAAATGTATCTCATCAGAACACATGTCAGAAAACACAAATTCAGTCTTTTTAATTCTTGTTCTTTTATTTTTCACTCTCTTTGATAATTTTTTTTTTATCAGATTCTTTCATACTCAGTAACTCTTTGTTGGTTTGTGATTTTTTTATACCGACTTCATCCAATACAAAGCCCAAGAGGCACTCAAAGTAGAAAGTTACTGTGTGGTGCTGTATGAGCATAAGAAAGGGAAAGAAGTGAAGTTCATGGAGCTATGCAGGAAAAATAACAGTTAACTCTAGACTTGAAGATGTCAATATTGTAGGGATTGGGAAAACATCCTGCCAGGAAGAAGCTTTCCGAGTGGAACTTCTTCCTTATAAATGGAATATAAAGGGAATAGGGATGATTCATCTTTGTGTACGTGGCATGGTGGATCCCAATGTAAAGCTCAGGGGTGGTGGGTCTAAGGAAGGTAGCTCGTCAGAACACATTCTATGGAAGCAATGAAACTATGATCAAATCAGGAACAAATAGAAAACAATCACTGAAGTTGTACAACAGATGCACCCAGAAAAAAATAATTTTTTCCTTAAATTTGTTTTCATATTTCTGTAGATTAAGTACTCCAGATCAAGAATATGTAAAATAATAATAGATTTATTAAATTTTATGAAAAATAATAGAGAAGTCCAGTTTACTATGTAAATCCATTGTAAACTAATCCCAATACAGAAGCCAAAAACAAATATGCTCATACAATGTGATTTCTTAAAATGGAAAAAAGTAAATTCCTTTTTTTTAATTTGTAATCTGGAGTGAGATAGTAATATACTTAAAAAAAAAAAAAAAAAAACTCCAGATTATTTTTTTTTTATTATTCATTTCACCCCAAGCAAGGTGATAAAAGCATTAGGATGCAAGGGGTTATTGGTAGTGAAAGAGAATGTGAAGACTTTAGGGAGGGGAAAGGACAATAAAAGAACAGGGTTCAGGAAGAGAGAAAACAGCAAATGATATTGAATTTAAATTTTTGAAGATTATAGGTGACAGGGAGGTAAGAAATTGGAAGGGAGTTCCACAGGTGAGAAAAGAAACTATTTGAATAAAACATATGGTCTAGATGATCCAACAGTAAAATAGTGAAATCTAGTTGCCAATTTAGTTACATACTTAAATTCATGAAGTCAAGGCATGAAAGAAGAAAGCTCATCAGAACAAATGCCTTCAAAATATTTGTAGAAAAGACAGAATTTTCAAAAATTTTCTACATTTTATAAAAATAAATTTAGTCAAAAGAAAATTTAATATTTGTGAGCCGAAATTTATAGCAATATAAAAATAAAATGTTATTTCTGGTTGCAGTGCCAAATCATTATAAATTTGACATGTTTCACTGTTTATTTAGCTTCATCAGAAATGTTTGTAAATGGAAAATGCAGAGTTTAATTACTACGGTGTATATGTGTAAGTTTATGTATGCACATATGTTAATGTATGTTTTGTATATATACATAAACTTATGTATATATGTAAATAAATTTGTATGTATGTATATACATGTATATATGTAAAAATATGTTTATGTTCATGGTACACATACATATATCAGTGATGGCATTCTACCAGTTAAAAAATTTATAAAATCTTAGCAAACTTGTTGGATTATCCAAAATTAATCTAATATATTAATAGCTGATATATAATAGCTAAAAATATAATTAATACCATTACTGTAAATTCTGCAGAAACTGAAAGAGGTTTTTCTGCAATGAACATAATTTATTCTGATAAAAAATTATCATCTTGAAGTTAAAAATGTGTCAAATATTCTAGTCATAAATTTGATAGGTCTTCCATTGGATCAAAACTGGAGCAATTCAGTTCAAATGGGGCTAAGAAACCGTAACTGATGACACTAGAGTCAAAAAGCATCATACTTCTGAACAGAAATATGATAAGAACAGAATTTCAATTTGGATATATCTTAATAAATAAATTATCAAAATTGTTTTATTTCTTTTTGATACGATATAAAGTGATTTGTTTCCATTCTCAGATTGAAAAGGAAATAAGCAGAATAGGTTCCTAACGATTACCTGCCTTTATAAAACTGCACCTGGAAATTTGGGATGCCATTATTGACACACATATATGTGACTGTATGTATATATGTAAATGTGTGTGTATGAGCATATATATATATATATATATATATATATATATATATATATATATATATATATAAGAGAGAGAGAGATAGTAAAACCTCAATTTAAAGAACTAATTAGTGGAAGAGTCTGTTCCTTAAATCTAAAAAAATCCCAAATTTACTTTGTACTCATAACAGAGACTTAAAAAACATTTCAAAATTTCAGCCATAAATAATCCTATCAGTTTTGATGGGTAATATGCTAACAGGTTTGTCAGCATTGTCTTTTAAAACCCAATTGAGATGTTCAGTCCCTTTTTGAGTTGTTTGTTTTGTTTTTACTAACAAAATTTAATGAAATTGGAGTTATCCAATGTTCACTAGTCTCGATTTTACGACCTTGGCAGTAGAGTAAAATTTCAATTTAAAGAACTAATTGGAGGGAGAGTGTGTTCCTTAAATCCAATAAATCCTTCATTTTATAAAGAAGAAACAACTTCTGTAGTTGGAAGTTGTGCTGTAGATGTAATCTGCCTTGTAATTTACTCATAACTGAGGCTTAGAAAATTTTAAAAATTTCATACATAAATAATCCTATCAGGGTCGTCAGCAATGTCTTTTAAAACTGAGTTTTTCATTGCCTATCTGAGTTGCTGTTCTTTTTTCTTTCTTTTTTTACTAACAAAATTTAATGAGATCAGCATTATCCAGCACATTTTTTTGCAATCATGAAACAAATTGTATTATATTCACCATTTAATCTTCCAAAACTCATGAAATGTGCAAGGGGTCGGTAAATGATAAATACAATCCTCCAAATTGTAACCAGCCCAGCATTGATAAAAACTGTCTTTAAAAAGGCTTTTCATTTCCAGCTTTATTTATATTTAACAAGGTTGACGCGTGCCTAGTAACTTAACAAGGACTTTGTGAATAGTAGTTATCTAACTTTGTTCAGTAAAAATAAAAAGTCACTTCATTATGACCCTTGTGATATACAAGTGGTTTCTTAAATTGAGGAATGTTAAATCGAGGTTTTACTGTATAGTCAAATAATTTTTATTAAAAGTGACTGACAAGATCCATTTAATTTTTAATTATATTTTCCAGTTTACATATAGATTGTTCAATATTTGGATCAAATTTGTGGAGAAAGTATCCAAAATTCATGTTTTTGTTTAAGTATTTTCAAACAATCTGGTCCATTCTCAAGAATCTTAATATTATCAGTGTCATAGAAAAAATGTTTTATTAGCTTCATACTAGTATTTTTAGGGTACTATATTTCTAATTAAAATATATGTGTATCGTCATATATAGAATGGTTTATAACTGTATGCAAGGAGTAGACCTTTTAAATTTCTGTCTAATTTTATGTTTTATTAAAAGCAATAGACAGGGTTGTTATTTTTTGTAATATTTTAGTTAATTTTTCTCTTTTTTTGTATATTACTGGAAACTTTAATTTTAGTGAAACAACAGGATTGAATCGCTATCCCTTTTTTCTTTTTATTATTTTTTTTAGACCAGGAAATTAATAACAACTGACCTAGATTGAGAAATCCTACATAATAAAGATTGTGCCTTCAACAGGTATTGAACTTGTATCTCTTTTTTCCATCAGGGAAACTGCTTCTATAGACAAAACATGCCTTTACCAATTCAGCCATGGAATCTGTATTGACAAAGCAAGGTTTAAGGAATGCACATTTTTTATTGCAACTTCTACAAAGTAATATCAGCTTGCTTTGGTCTCATACCAGAAACATAAACAACTAATATTTGAATTGTTTTTTTTATTTGTTCAAAATTATTTATCATGGAACAAGGGGATACAGGTTCAATTTCAGTTAGATGCATAATCTTTCTTTAATAGAAAGGTCATTTTTTATTAATTTCACTGTTTAAGAAACAGGAATAGCAACTTAAATATGTGTATCCACTAAAAATAACCTTTATAGTAATAAACAACATTTTTGAAAAGAAAATATGTGTATATATATGGTTTAATGATTATAGATATTGCTTGGATAATATATAGTATTTATTCAAAAATTATGACATAAGCATGTTATAACATCACTACAAATAGCCATTTTGTTTCAACACTTCTGATGTTTTGTCAAGTGATGCTGTTGATTTCAGAATAAGTAGACACTGAAATCAACACCTAGCAGCTTAGGTTTGTTTAATGCTTAAATGCAATGATCTAATTGTGTTTAAGCAGGAAACAGGCTATCATTATTGGGTGTGGACTTCAATGTCCACTTTTATATTTACATTCACTCTATCACTGATATTGAACACTTTAACCCCTAAATATAGCATACCTTAAAAGTATATTTTCATCATATATATATATATATATATATATATATATATATATATACACAATGAAATTAATTGTCTTGAGTTTTTATTCCCTGTCTGATGAGATACATTGAATTGATTATATGTGATAACTGTTTACCTTTATGGTAATGTTATTGTGAGTAATATCAATTCACTCTGAGTCCCTGATTCGAAGTTCTGCACAGGTATCCACCATACTAAGTCAAGGAAAATAAATCCGGGTTATCCCCCTTGTTGAAACAAGCCAGTTGATGCTATTGTTTGTACTTCATTTAATCAGTTGCGTTTTACTAATTTATGCATTGTTGTTAATTTTTGCAAGAATAATCTGAAATCTTTCTGTCCCATTCTAGACTTGAAAGCCTCCTCTCCGACAATTCGGTATGAAGAACCTCCCTTGTTCCTCTGCCTTAAGGTTGGAAAGCCTAAAAACACAAAGGTCACATATGAAGCCCCATTCAGCACATATGGAAAAGCCAAGAAACCAGAATACTGGTTCACAGTTTCGCAAGAAAAGTAAGTAATTTGTTCTTTGTTTGTTTTTTCTGCAGATTTTCACTTGACAAATATGTTTGAAATCATTATTCTATATAATATTCAGATAAAAGTAATTTGCCATGGATTCATATTAACTCATAACTTAGTTTTGAAAATCATTGGAACTATGACAAGTTCACTCCTCCCTGGGTGCCCCACAATTATAACACCACATTGATTTAACTTCTTGAATTGAGGAATCGGAGAGCCAAGTTGAATCCATTACATTCACTTATGTGCTAATACCCTTGGGAAAGGTACGAATCGTTCTTCTCCCACCAGCTATGGGTAAATATCAGGACAGACCAGGTTCTATAGCCTTGGATGACAACTGGTCTACAGCAGAAAGAAATGGCAACCTACTGCGGGAAAAAAATCTGTGTGTGTATCTTTGTACTCATATATATATATATATATATATATACACACACACACATACACACAAGGTGTCCCTAAAGTCTGGACATAAAGACAAAAATGCATATTTTCAAGAAATTAAATTTTCAACAACATTTATTGAATATTATTGGAATATTAACAAATAGAATCTTCAATATGATTTCCATGATTTGTGATGCAAAGGTTGATGTGCTTTGCAAGATTCACGTGAACATGATGCAATAAATCCACATTGCTGTCAATTTTAGCACATTCACTCTTTATGCATTCAATCAAGCTTCTCCTTTAGCATACCCCAGAAAAAGAAGTCACTTCTTCCAACAAAACCATGTTTAATCTGTGGAGGTAAAAAAATATAGTTAATGAGATTTCCTATGTGTCCAGACTTTAGGGACAACATATATATATATATATATATATATATATATATATATATATATATATATATATATATATATGCCGGTTGTAACAGCTAAATTATCCAAATCGTATAACAGCATGGGATAATTGTCCATCTCACAAAATGTTTAATATCTAAAAAATCAATAAACTAATTGAGTTTCTTTTTCCCAGGTTTTCAGATAAGACGTTCCGCCATCTTGACACCATTTGTCATAAGAATCACTGAAAAACCCTTTGAGTTATTCAGCTAGAAAGAGGACAAGTTAAAATCATTTTGTGTTAGGCCCACTATGTCTTCCCAACTGAGCAATGGTGAGAGAAAAAAAGATCATTCAGGCCTTCAGTAATGGTACTAATATTCATACTCTGGCTCCCATCTTCCATTCAAGGACCATCAAGAGAACAGTAAATAAGTTTTAAAAAGAGGGAACAGTGGGAAGGAAAACTGAATCAGGAGGTCACAACAGGAAGAGGGATCATCATTTCAACTTAGAGCTGAAGAGATCAATTAGAAAAGATCCAACTGAATCCATAAGACATTTGGCACGTGAGAGAGGAGTTTCAGCTATGACTGTCCAAAAAGCAGTGAAAAAAAACTTGAAAACAAAATCATATGTGAAACCTGTGGGACACCTTGTTACTCCAGGACAGAAGGTTAGAGAGGACGAAGATCATCGTGAATAAGTTGGAAAATGATATATATATATATATATATATATATATATGAATTTTATTTCAACCCTTCATGAGCTTCTGACCCTTACCTATGATTAATTAATGATGAACATATCATTTTCATTTCTGATCAATTTCATCATGATTCTTCTATTAAACTTGGAGAGTAATTATGCATTCTTATTGCTCAAAGTAGAGTTCAAGTGTTATAAACACCTCACAGAATTCCAATAAGATATCTTTAATCATTTTTAAGATACAATGGTTCAAATCTTAATCTGACAAATGGACAATTTTGCTTTTACACTCAGTGTGTATATATATATATATATATATATATATATATATATATATATATTTTGCTTTAGGCATGTGACTGAATGATCAGAACAGCATTCTGACCATGAAATCCAGCTACAAGTCTGATCATAGTTGATTCGTCAGGAGATGACTTCTTAATATCAGATTGGTAGTTGAGAGGTCAATCCCAGGGTGCAGCACCATTGAAAAGTGTCTGGAAACCATATCATTTGTTAATTCAAGCTTTGTGAGTGAAATTGGATGAACAGAACTGTTCAGAAGCTGTTGATTGTTGTTCTAGCACAAGGTCACAAGTCACATTGAGCATATTAGCTTTCTTACTTTCGGCATGCGACATGTGGATGTTTCATTAGGTGGGTCAAGTGGCTTTCATTGCTCCCCTCTCCCCAAAATTATGCCCTCTTTTCATCAGAAACTCAGACTAAAGTCTGCTCAGCATGGTTGCATTATAAACTATAGGAGGGCTCTGCGTTTGTTGAAGAAACACAAATATGCCTAAGCAGGCATCTGCAACAGCGATTAGCTAGCCATTGTAGCAGACAGCTCTACTCGGAAAGAAGCAGCCAACCATTAAATAGGCATATCAAGAAGTTCATAGCCTTATATTTATTTTTCAATATACTATGCTATATTAATAATATTGAGGGAATATTATACAGTGAAAATTCCAGATCAAAATTCAGCTAGTGGGCTTGCAGCTATATCATGCTGAAACATCCATTCCCATATGGTCACTGATGTTAAGCAATGTTGAGCATGGTTAGTACCTGAATGGGTGACTGCTTGGGAATACCAAGTGCTTTAAGCTAATGGAGAATGACTTGGAATTGTTAATTGGTAAGCAGTCATTATATTTCCTTAGCTGCAAATACCCTTGGGAAAGGTATGAATCTACCTCTTCTCCCTCAAGCTATGGGTTAATAAGTAATAGTATTATCTCAAAAAAAAATGTTACAATGTAAAAACATTTTCTGGCTTTAAATAACCTGCAAAGGGTTGATAAGCCATAAAAATGAATGGATCAACTAATTAGCTAATGTGAGGCAATATCTAGGTATCTAGTAAGCTAATATTTACCTCAGGAGGCATGGTGGAGTAATGGATAACAGCTCGGATTGAGGAATCGGAGAGCCAAGTTCAAATTCCAGTTGAATCCATTACATTCACTTATGTGCTAATACTCTTGGGAAAGGTATGAATCCTCTTCTCTCCCAGCTATAGGTAAATAGTAGGACAGACCAGGTCCTATAGCCTTGGATAGCAACTGGTCTACTTCAGAAATTCAATGGCAACTTACTGCGGGAAAAAATCTGCCTCATCAGTCATATATCGAAAGATACATAATCATCTAAGCATGTATCACGCATGGCACATAACTGACTGAATATTTACCGCTGCACTGTAGACTTGGACCTGGACACTTTGACATAGTGTAATGGTTAACAAGATTGTCTTGCTAGATCAATTACAACTGAGTAGTGAGTTCAGTCCTCACTGAGTGTCCAATACTTTTGGCCTTGCGCCACGTCTAAGCTACACTTAGAAAATATACCATAGACTTGGATCTAACGTCATTGCATAATATTCTAATATTAAAATCTATACAGAGACTGGTCATGGTTACATGTCACCAAATGCAGTAATTTTGATATTGTTTTGAGGATGATGCAAATAAACCTTGAAATATTAATCGAATCATCACAGTTAATCAAATATTGATTACCTCTTTGTATATTTTATGAGTTACCATCATTCTTTTATGGACAAGATGTGAATATGAATATAGTTGTGCTTAGAACATGGAACTTGAAGTAAAAAGATGAATAAGTGGATTGTATGATTCAGATTAATAAATAAAGAGAATAATATATTTGGCTAACAATTGTCTGAGGAGTGAATAAAAAACATATTACATAAAATAAAAACTTAACAGATTATATATGTAATCAGAAATGTGTTGGCATGCAAATCATGTTGTAACCTAGGAAACAAACAATAAAATAAGGAGGAGGAGAAGACAAAGTATTGGATGTACACATGATAAAACTGGAAGTGTTTGCTTTTAAATGTCTAGAAACAAAATGCAAACAAAGCAATCATGTGACAATTTTTGACCAATGAGAATAGAGTGAAAGCTTTGGTGTACCCAAATGTAAAAATAAAATATTAAAAAAAATTTTTTAATAAAATAAAGCATTTGCTTTCCTTAAAAATCCATATCTTTTTTCCTCTCTCTCTACCCTATATACTTCTCTCTCAACTAATGTAACAAGGAGGAAGAAGAAAAAACTAAATGACAGCTGCAGTGTTTAGTTTATTGTGACTAGAAATCAACCAAAACAAAGGCGGCTCCATGCATAAGTTCTGCTATAAAAAAGAAAGAAATGTCAGAAAATAAATAAAATAATTTGGACCAATCAAAAGAAAACGACTTTTGATTTTCTCCGAACCGAAATTTGCGCCAAGCTGTCTGGAGCCTTTCAAAATTGTTTATAAAAGACCAGAGGCGAGACAGCAAAAGAGAGACAGCCAGAAGCCACATCTGAATGTGTTGCATAAAGAACTAAGCAATCATTTGCTTAAGACATTTATCCGCCCTTTTTGAGGGTCAATATAATCAGTAGATTTGAGCCACAAAATTCTCCAAAGTAACCGCATTACTTCAAAACTGAACACTTTCATTTGAAGATGAGTCAATCCTTGTAGATCTAAAGTTTCTGATAAATATTACAAAGACCTGGCATTTCTCCACTAAGCAACTTAATTCTCATACTTTTATTGTTTGAAAAAAAAAATAATGCACAAAATAAAATATTAAAGTTTTATTTGTTTTTACAGATTTAAACATTAACAGCTGTAATAAAGGGGCTACACTTGAAAATATTTAGATGGAATGCAATATGATTCAAGCCTTGACTACTTATCTGGTGTAGATAGGTACTTCAGCTTAATGTAGTAACAAGAGTTTAATTATGATGACCTAATGGTTCAGTGAGACTTCAGGTGTACTTGTCAAAATATTGTGTTGTAATTGCATCACTATTTTAATCAAAACTAACAACTATTTTAACACCCTAGGTTTACTCCATTTATTTTATTCAAGTTGTTGTCTCCTGCAAGAACCATGAGACTAGTAAGTGATAGTCAAACCTTTGTGTTTTTGGACACATAAATCAATTACACTTGATACTGTACAGAAATATGTCTTCCCATTGAAACTTATAGATTTGTTCATTTCAAAGATTATTGTAAAACTCAAATTAAATGAAAAAAACCAGAAAAATCATTAGAAAAATCTGATCATTGCATTTTTGTTTTCAAAAGGCAAATAGAAATTTAATTTATTATCAGAATCTTTTCCTTTAGTTTTTCAGTGTTTTTTTTATAAACAATAATTTGAAATAAAAATGAATGACTATCTTTTACAGAGCCGACAACTTTTATGCATTCCTTCTCCATTGGAAGCCAGAGATTTATGGTGATGATGAAGAGACTGAGGCTCGAAAGATGGGCTTCGTCATTTTTGATGCAAGCAATAATCAATCTGAAGAAGATCTGGATATTTTGGACGAATATTTTGGCCACCGGGAAAGCATCTCAAAAGACTGGGAGGTAAGTCCAATGTCACGCAAAAATTGCCCACACGCGGACATTGGTCACTCCATTATTCTTATTTCAATTTTAGGTTCTTTAACAAAAGCCTCAATTTTTTTTAAACAGTCACTTATCTTTTCTCTGGAGAACTCTTAAAAAAAAAAATTAAAGGTAACCTAAAGATACTGTTTCCAGTATTCATTCACAAGAGAGCCTCATTAGGTTCTAAGTCCCGGTAGATGATCAAATAGAACCAGGGAGGCAAAACTGCAGTTCTGGCACTTAACTTGTGTTTCATAGAAATATGTTTCTTTTCTTAACTCAGTGTTGTAAATAAAAAAAAAATGATATTTATTTCCTGGGTATGAACTGTGACCTGACGATATTAAAACCTAAGTTAGTAAAAACATTTAAGAATTTAAATCTTAATTTTAATACTAGACAGAAGTTTGTTTTTTAGCAATGAGAGAAGGAATGAAGGAAAACAGAGAAATCAAATAAATTTCCGACAAGCAAAGCATACAAAAGAATGTTTATATATTGCAACTCTAAAACATCTAAACTTTATCTTATGTAAGTCAGGCATTAAGTAAGTTTATCTGTTCCTGCAATAGAACCTGATGTTAAGGCAAAGATTAAGTCAGAAAATTCACTTGTTATGACAACCTAAAAAGATTAAAGTGACTCTGTATAATTTCTGTATGAATTTCTGGGATGAGGAGTTATCATTATTTACAAGTAGACTATTGTCCTCATCTTTATTGTTGTTATCACAACATTTTGGACATTGTGCACTCTGGTTTTCATCAGGCACAGGTCAATCCTGGTAACCTACAAGGAATACAAACTGAACTCTTTATGCAATTCATTAAATCTTTAAAAGTTACTTAGTTTATGTTTCATAGATTTATATTGAGTAGATATGGGCTTTTGAGAAAAATAATCTGATTGAGGAAGCGTGCTTTCCTTAAAAGGGAAAGTAGATCCTTGCTGAATTGTGATGCTCTTCATAGACGAATGGTAAAGCACATTGGATCAAATGAGGGTTTCTCCCACAAAGGGGGATGCAGATTTGATCCCTGCTGGAGAACACATTTTATTATGTTTTCCTCAATACACAGTCTGATAGATGTAATACACACTGTTTAAATTAAAAATTGGGCATCTGTTTCAAGTATGAGTATCCACTATAATAACGCCTTGAAGTAATACATACATATATATATATATATATATATATATATATATATATATATATCGGTACTTATTGGAAAGCGCTCAATATCAGTGATAGAGCTAACATATTTAGTTGGATTGATGCAAGTTTGTGACCCTGGGTTTCACTCTTTTGTAATCATAAAAACCGTGAAACCCAAGGTCACAAAAACTTACATCAATCCAACTATATATATATATATATATATATATATATATATATATATATATATATATATATATATTCTTAATTCTGACATTTATTTGTTACTAGCTTAAAAGCCACCCTATCAGGTGGCATATAAGCTAGCTCCTGTGGAGGGCTTTTGATTGGGCCTTCATTGCAATAGGTAAGGAGGAGTAGATATGATAGGCAACAATAAACTACAGAAGAACTCAAAATTGATTGCTACATTTAAGTATTGCATTAATATTTAAGCTTACCTTTTAAAAGTTCAACAATAATTCTTCTGCCACCACTTAATTTAAAAACAATTTGATGTATGTAGGTCCTTACTTTCTGTACAAACAATTATAGTCATAGGTGACTTTCACTGGATTTTGCAATTGATTTCAATTATTCCCAAATTTATTTACAAGTTATAAAAATTGTTATTGTACAAAAAATTTGTCACAAATAATCGTGCAAAAAATTGTCAAAAGCAATCGCAGTAATGAAAACTTGGGAAACCAAAATTTCAGGATTGCAGGTCCGGGTGTGGCCTGGAATGTTTTTAATTTGCTCACGGAGTCAGCCTGATTCCAAAATGATATGCTATGTTAGGCTATGGCCTCTAGGAATAAAGTTGAAAAAGTGTGACACGCTGACATTCGCATTTATTTATATAGATTACTATGAATATTTAATTTCTTATTTTTTTAGTGGATACATGTTTGAGTTAATATCCCTATAATTTCACTGTTTAAGAAAAAACAGGGATGTCAACTGAAATGCTGGTACCAACTAAAAAAATAAATAAAAATGATATATAATAATAATAATATAAGGCTGTCCAGTTAATAATGATCTTACATGCACACAAGTCATGCTCCAGTCAGTCTAGACTTACCAAACACTTGAAAATCTAAGCTCAAGAGGCACAAATTCCCCAACAATCAATGCTCTACATCTACCATTTGTACAATACATCTTGCAAATCACTTGCCAACTTCAAAAGCCATTGGTGGTCACTTGACCAGTAATGCATGTCAGTGATGGCCACTCATTTGATGAGTCCATGGCCATCACATTAGAGATAGCTCAAACCTTAAGAAGATATAAGAAATTAAAACTGATTTAAAACTCACAATTTGTAAATCTTAAATCGTTTTTCATTTCTTACATCTTATTAATGTCATATTGCTATGTTGTTTAATTTTATATTAGATTATATTGAACACTTTTCTTGACTTGTGAAATTGTTTGGATGGTGGGACTGGTCTACACTACTGTTATTATTACTATTTATTAAGTTTAGCATTATATATATATATATATATATATATATATATGCATGTATAATTTATTTGTTATGTTAGGATACAAAACAGAGCAGATATGTACATAAAAAGAATAGAGTAAGCTCAAGAGGCACAAACTTCCCAGCAATCAATGCTCTACATCTACCATCTGTACAATACATCTTGCAAATCACTTGACAGTTTCAAGAGCCTTTTATTTTATTTATCCCTTCTGAATTCTGTTTTTTTATTGTCCCTTCTAAAGTTTTCTTATTCTTTTTCACTCTCAGTAACTCATTACATTTTAGTAGTATTATTGTCTTGTTAGCAGTGAAATAATTAACAAAAAAACAATCATCTTTTGTTCAATTAGAGCCACTTGAAACGGGTATAAATTTTGAACCTTCAAGAAGATAAATTATCATTCTGGAGAACTGTTGCACATGTTGGTTGTTAGATGACAGTAAAATTTCAATGCTGGTAATTTTGGTCACATGACCATTCCTACAGCTGCATCAGGGTTCTGATAACCATATACAGATGCTTGCCAAAACCTATGCATTGAAAGAGAAGTAGTAACAATCTGCATAGCAACCACAACACAGGTCAGAGTAAACATGGCCCTCGGCAATGTCATTAGGAATTATATTGCTTGCAGCAGAAATATAGGAATGCTTGTCACTAGCCAAACTATTACTTATGCCACAACACCATCAAGAAAATTTCCAAGAGTGACACAAGAAGGAAATAAAATGATGCTCTCTCAGAGTAAACATGGCCCTCAGCAATGTCATTAGGAATTATATTGCTTGCAGCAGAAATATAGGAATGCTTGTCACTAGCCAAACTATTACTTATGCCACAACACCATCAAGAAAATTTCCAAGAGTGTCACAAGAAGAAAATAAAATGATGCTCTCTCATTGATGCATTCAAGTTCTGCCTTCAGACAAGTGATGGTCATTTGCATGCACAACTTATATCTGGACAGTGACATCTTCCTGAATGCATTGTACAAAATATCTGGATTTGGGCAGTGAGTGGCCCATGGTGGTTGTAATGATGTTGAACAAAATTAACCAATCAGCCATTTCAGCATTAATGACCAATAATGGTTGATATGCTGGTAAAATAACCAATCAATCAATCCTAAATGTATTTGCCTATGACTCATCACTTGTCACTATGGTGTCATGTACTTTAAATTATAACCCTTATTTGCCTTTTCTGTTTGTAGGGAGGGATATTATAAAGGAAATCTCAGAACATTGTTCAATCCATTCTACTATCATTTCTGCAATAGGAAAGAATTTTGTTGTTCCAGCAGGATAGTACCTGCTTACATAATACCCGTAGTACTTAACATAATCTTCAAGATATGCTACAAATTACATGGCCACCACAATTGAATAACCATGACTCTTAATGGGATGATGCCTGGTTTGGTTAGTTTTAAAAAAATCTACATCTTTTGCGGTATTGAGACAACAGATGCAAAAGGTGGCAAGTAATGTATGGCTGGATACTGTATGTCATCTGGATGATAGTATTCCTTTAAGAGCATAAGCCTGTGTTCATAGAGTGTATTAATTTAGGATCTGAATATTGATCATATATCAGTTATTTTGGGACCTGCACATGTATTGATGTGATTATTTAATATAATCTAGCTATATTGGCTGTATGTTTAATATTGACTAAATTGAAACACATATTCAGAGTGTAATTCTCCATCCGAGTGTGTGTATGGGTGTGTGATTTTTTTTTTTACATACACTACTGACCAAAAGTTTGGAATCACATTGATTTTTTTCTCTAAAGGTAAAAAATGAATCAAATTTCATGTCTTTAAGGAAATAAATTTAATTTTTCTACGTTTACCTGCAATTATGCAATAATTTAAATCAAAATGATCTTTTTTACTGTCAACATTTGTGCCGGTTTCTGCATGTCGCTAATAATGCACTCGATTTTTTAGACAGCTGTAATTTTCTAGCAATCTGACATTCGGAATACTCTTCTACAGAAAGAATTTCTACCTGGGATTATTTTTTCAATATTAATCTGTTTAGTCCTTGACATTTTAATGGCTTTTGAAAATTAATTTCAATCATGCATTAATCTAAAAGTGATGTTGAAATATTTGTAAATGTCTGCTCTACAGTTCAGAAAGGGTATCAGGTTGTAACAAAATTTCCAAAACTTATGCAAATAAATATATAATGCATGTAGAAAAATTGGTCTGAATTTTATAAAGGATTTGCATATATACAAAATAGGTAAATGTATTTATTCAAATATGCAAAATTAGCCTTTTTTATGAACTTAGAGAAACAATTCAA